TTTGTGTTTGACACTCGATTTAAAAGTCCTTGCGAGCCCGGCGGTTTTCGAAGGATTCCTGCATGCGCGCTCGACGACGCGCGCGTGTGCACTTCGTTTCATGTTTGTCAATGGGTTCTTACACAACTACTGGTTTTTGATAAACGAGTGTGCGCGCATAGTATTTGTTGCACTGGGTGTTTGGGGGGATAGACCAGTTCGGCTGGGATGGTACGGATTCATATTCCGGATTGACGATCGGGCAGACCCATACGTGAATTGTAATACGAAAAGGGGTGCGGATGATCCTGGGGAAGGAGGAGTATACCCTGTTATATTTTATGAACGGGGAGTTCACACTGTCGAACCTGGCTTTGTCAGCTTCACTGGTCGCGCAATCACCCCACCGACCCACCCGCAACTTGGTTTGCAAAACCCATACGGCGGCGATTGCGCACAGATGCGGCCGCGCTAGCGCGCGCTGGCTCGCGCGCAAGCGTGCGCCCAAAGCGGCCAGGTGGTCTGGCGCAGCCGCCGCGGCCGCGGTGGCGCTGACCGCTGGGCAGTTCCCAGCGCTTCTCGCAGGATGCGCTGACGCGCGGGCAATTCACTGACAGTCGGTGACTCGGGCGGGCGTTGTATCACGGCGACGTCGTTAACGGAAGACACGATGATGATTGTGGCGGTGTTGGCGACGACGGCGACAAAAGCAATGATGGCGCCGATGCTGATCACGCTGGTAACGATTATGGTATTCTCGCGTCGGCCACAAATGTTGTGGTAACAAATTCGTCATGCGCGCGCGGCCGACGGGCGCGAGTGGCCCGCATGGCGCTTTTTGACATGGTTCGACCCCCACCCAACACACGCGCAAAACGGTGTGCGAATGATACCGGCATGGGCGCGCAAAGGGGCCCGCCTGGTCGCAGTTGATGAACGTGGAAAAAAACGATGATCGTTATATGAGTTCGCAAGAGCGCGCGCAGATTTTCCGAAGAAGCACATGGCACAACCACGTGTGTTGCCATGTGTTTTTTCGGGACCCTCGGTCTTGACACCCGTGCGAAACCTTTGCTTTTTGAATGGTTCAAAACATGGGGCGACAACGCGCGCGTGTGTAGTAGATTTGATTATGTTGTACGGGGTTCTTGCAAATTGGTGTTTTGTGATGCACAAGTGTGCGCGCATAGTGCGCGCATAGCATGACTTAGCGAATCTGAGGGGGGGGTCGAGCCCGGCTTCTCCGGGATGGTATGAATTCATGTGTGGAATGGATGGTGTGGCAGAATCATTTCCCGACAGAGCATCATCCCACCCACCCGCCCGCAATTAGGCTTGCGGAACCCATGCAGCGGCTATTGCGATGATAGTTCGGCGTTGGTTGGTGCATCGCCATGGCCGCGCTAGCGCGCAGGCTCGCACGCAAAACGCGACCGACGCGGCCGCGGTGGCGTTGACCGCTGGGCACTTCCCATCGAAGGCCACGCTGACGCGCGGGCACTTCATTGCGAGTTGGTGATTCGGGCGGGCGCGATAGCATGACGACGTCGACAACGGCAGGCGAAACTTCTAGCACCGATGCCCGCGACGATGATGGCAATGACGACGGCAAGGGCAATGACGGCATTGATGCTGATCACGCCGATGATCGTCATGCGCGCGCAGCCGACGCGCGCGAGTGGCCCGCATGGTGTTATTCGCTAGGGATCGTGCCCCCCCTTCCCAGCAAGCGCGCCAGGGCGTTCGAATGATTTTGACATACGCGGGTGCAAAAAAACACCGTGTGGTCGCATGTTATGAGGATTTGGTGGAAACAATCCGATGGTGATCAAGCGGAACTCGTAAGAACGCGAGCGGTGGCGTTTTTTGGATCGTCCGGTTGCGGAACATATGGTTTTCGTGTCTTCGGGACAGTCGGTATTGAAATCTCTGCGAAACGTGACGAAACGTTAGGTGTTTGAAAGATTTCGGCTTGCGTGCGCGACGATGCGCGCGTGGGCACTCCGTTCCGTTTTTGTTGCCAGGGTTCTTGTGACAGCACGCGCGCAAGGGCGTCCGAGTGATCTCGATATCGACATGCGCGCGCGAGAGGCTCGTGTAGGTCGCACTTAATGAACATGCTGTCCGAAACGATAGTTCGTTGTTAAGAACCCGCAAAAGCGCGAGCTCAGGCTTTTCCATGACTTATTGTTACGAATCCGATGGTTTCTCCATGTGTTTTGGGGGCACTCGATGTTGAGTGCCTCGCGAAACTTGAGGTGTTCGACGTTCCGGCATGCGCGCGCGAAGATGCATTCATGTGCAGTTCGTCCCCGATTGTTGCGAGGACTCGATGAATGTTGATGATTGTTGGTGAACGAGTGCGCGCGCATAGCATGTGTTGTGAAGGATGGAAAGGTCGAGAACTGGACTTCCTGGGATTTTATGCGCTCGTATATAGAATGGACGACTGTGCAAAGCATATACGAAAAACAAACGACGAGGCGGCGACGGTGACCACATAGCCGCCAGACTGCCGCGGAGGCCCAGGCGACAGGCGGCGACGAGGAAGTGACGGGGCGGCGACGGCGGCCACATAGCCCCGAAACTGCCGCGCTGGCCCAGACGATGGGCGGCGACGAGGCGGCGACGGGACGGCGACGTCGGCCACATAGCTGCCAGACCGCCAGCCAGGCCCAGTTCCTTTGAAAAGACATAAGCATTCCCAAGTGCAAGCGCTGTTTGGGAAACTTCCGATCGGGTTTGAAGCTCTCTTCTAGCCTGCTGTAAAGATAGCTGGCTCGAAGACTGCCCCCCGTCCCTTCGAAGAACGCGATCACAGGTGCGGTTCCGTGCATCCTTCTTGTTGGCGGCGCGTGCCAAGCACCCATCCAACGGATTCGAATCGGGTGAGGAATGAAGTGCTTTCAAGTTGGCACGCGTGGCCATTCCAGGACTCTGCCACAACCTGGAAGTTGCCTTGCACGACTATGCGCTCTAAGCTTGTCCTCATGTCATTCGGGCTCTCGTCGCCCTCGACAAGACAAGATAGGCCACCGCCTACCCCGCCCTACCTCCGTCAAACGTCAGGCGTCAGGAATGCCGTTCTCTTACCAGTCGGTGCAGCAGATGCCGACCCGCTAGTTTATAGCTGAGTTTTATTCGCACATGTAATGAGTTTTTGGTGATGGTCCTGTGCAATTTCGGCAGTTCGAATTTGGCGAACTGAATCAAGACCATAGGAGGTTGCACTCGGTTTCTTGGGGCCCATTCTGAGCAGAACCCAATCAATCGAGAGAGAGAGAGAGAGAGAGAAAAAAAAAAAAAAAAAAACACAATCGCTATAGGCAACAATGATCTATAGAAGTGGCCCTTGAAGAAGCGCAAGCTCGCTCTGCTACTGCACAGGCGCACAGGCTGCCAGACCGCCATCCAGGCCAGGGTTCTTGTGACAGCCAGGGCAGCGGGGGGGACCACATTGGGCAGCATCGGGGCCACAATGGACAGCGGAGGGGGGGGGGGGCGCAAGAAGCTACGCTGGGGCCACGAAGGGCAGCAATAGGGCCACTGAGGGCACGGGCGAAAACATGGGCCACACAAGGCAGCGAGGGGGCCAGTGAGGGCAGCAGCGGGGCCACGAAGGGCAGCAATGGGGCCACTGAGGGCACGAGCGACTGGTGGCCGCGAAGGGCGTATATAAGAGTCATAAAGGGCAGCGAGTGGCCACTGAGGGCAGCATCGGGGCCACGAAGGGCAGCGCTTGGGCCACAAGGAGAGGGGCCACGAAGGGCAGCAATGCGGCACAAAGGGCGCGAGCGAGCATGGGGCACGAAGGGCATGACCCTGACGGGAGGGCCGAACGGGCGGATCGATCGTGAGTTTTGCGTGATTAGCCAGGACGTTTCCAGCGAGAGAGCGATTCCTAAGTAAATTCGAGAAGTCCCGAGCGAACGCGCGACTCCTGAATGCAAAATCGCGGCGCCTGAGTAAATTGCGAGGAAGTCTTAGGCGGGAGCGCGATTCTTTTAGTAAATTTAGAGGTCTCAATCGGGAGCTGGGAACTGGAGTAAACTTCGAGGAAGTATCAAGCGGGAGCCGTTGCTGTTGTAAACCGAGGGCCAGGAGCATAGTTTGAGGAGGAAGACTTCCCCTTGTGAAAAACAGGGTGCGAGCGCCGGGAGGGACACTTCAATTGACAAATATAATGTGCACCAGAGGGGGGATCAACAATATTTGTTCTTCAGTAGTGAGAGTTCAACAACGACAACAACAACGCAATAAGCAGAATCCTCACAACGAATGCTCACTTCAGGCACGCACCCAGGGACAATGAATGACCGTTCGGCCCCCTCACTCTGATACGCCCCCGGCCCGAACTCTACCCACTCGAGCCGGGGTCTGTGCCGCGCCCCCCCCCCTCCGAAATATCCGAATAGATTTCGGAACAGTATCCCCCGAAACCTCCAATATAGTTATTACGGTCAGGAGTTGTTGCTCAGCGTGTCGCGCCGCCGTTTCTGACCCACTACGCTTCGTCGCAGCACGCTAACCACGCGCCCTAGTCCACAAGTACAGACGTCCCGAGCTTTCTCCAGCCTCCCGCCCTGTGGACCGAAGCGGCTGGCTATCCTATCCGCTTGCAGGGCATATCATGTCGCTGTGGCAGCTGCACGACGACGACCAAGACGAGAACGACGACGGCGACGGCTGCGGCGGCGGCGACGACGGCGGCGACGGCGGCGACGACGACGACAACGACGAGGACGACGACCACGACGAGAGCGCCGACAGCGGCGGCGACGACACCACGCTGAGCATTCGGTTTCTGACCGCAGCGAAAAAAAACGTTGCCACCGCCGGGGGTGGATGGCGATTGCCTGGCCTCCTCACGAGCATGGCCGCCCTGACCCCGAGTACCGCCCCGCCGGCGTCGCAGATCGTCGCCGCCGTTCACCGCCGCCGTCGCCGTCGTCGATCGACGATCGGTCGTCGTCCGTCGTCGTCGAACGGTATCCTTCCTGCCGGCGCCGGGCCGCGCCAAGGGGCATGAGAGCCTCGAGCGGGTGGCAGAGATGTGGCAGCGGAGGCTGGCAGAGGAGCTTCCCCGCGCCCCGCGGGCCCGCCCATTTGGGTACCACACCTGGGGCGCAAGCAGAGGCAGGGTCCCACATCCGTATTGGGTCCTGCGTCCTCATTCCCCTCCTCCTCCTCTCCCTCTCCGCCTGCTCCTCATCCTCCTCCTTCTCGTCCTCCTCTGCCTCCCCCTCCTCTTCCTTGTAGTCGTGCTGTGCTTTTTGTTGTCCTCCTCCTCTCCTTCTTTTTTGCCATGCTCGGATTCAGATCCTTTATCGAAGTGTATATCCTCTTCATCCCCCTCCTCCTCCTCCTCCTGCTCCTCCTCTTCCTCTTCGTTCCTTCTTCTCTCCCTCCTCCCCCGCCTGGAGTGCCGAATCTGAGGATCCATGTGGTGTTCGAGGCGCTCTGCTGTTGGCGTTGTTGAGGACCTCCTGGGGCCCTCGTGGCCACGGCTGGAGCTGCCTCGACGTCGTGGCCAGAACACATCCTTGGACAGACCCGGAGGGGGGATGGTTTCGTTGTTCAGGGAGAGGAGGAGGAGGAAGAGGAGGAGGAGGATTCTATTATATTGTACCTATGTGCGTGGTGACCTGCTGCAAGGCTGGGCACGCTGAGGCAAACTCGCAAATCGGGGCAACTGCCACCAGACTTGGGCGGCAATCTTCTCTTCAGTCTCCTGAGCACTTCATTGCCAGCGTTTGCAGGAGGCAAGCACTCAGACCTCAAATTCCGTGGGTTCTCCACAGTGACATCCACAGATTTCACAAAACAAAGCTCCTCGCTGTGTGGCTAGCTCGTGCGAGGCATGGCACACCTCAGCCACTGGATGATCCAAACCCCCACCCACTCCCGCCTCCCGAGGCCCAAGGTCATCAGGAGGAGGTGAGGGCCCCCTGAGCAGAGGGACAGGTGCACTCCTAGCAGGGAGGGCCTGAATTCGCTGATGTATCTCTGCACGGGGCTTACATAGACTTGGCCAGAACTCACAGAGAGGGCCACGACGACTGAAAGAGCGCGCACACAGACTGCACTTGACAGAAGTCGAGCGGACTACACACTTGTGACCACAATCCTGGAGCCTGCACATTCGCTCGGCCATTGAACGCACAGGCTGACGGGCACGGACATCCCTACGCACTTTCTAAGGGTCAGAGGTGAACAGAATTTCTTTCTGTACAGCCAGAAAGCGGCCAAGAACCTTGAAAGCCCCCCCATCGGCCATCAGAGTCCGACTGGCCTGGTCTTCTGACACCTGGCCAGCTTCAGCGGCCTTCCCCGCTATGAAATCACGGATTTACCCAGATAGAACTCAGCATCACTCATACACATGTGAAACGCCTGAGCCTGGGTGGGGTGACCTTTAGTCCAACGAATTTCAATCGTGCCGCCCTGAGCCCCCAGGACAAGATGATATTCTTCCCAGAGACCAAGCATGGCCGACTCACTTTGGCACGGAGGGGTCGCCGATCACCTTTGACAACATACATTTTGCCGCAATAAGCTCTCACATAGCCAGTTGAGCGCCTAACCAACTGCACAAGCGCATACCACTAGTGCACGGCCATCGGACTGCACCTTAGTGTTGGCAGTGACCCGCTCGCCACGCCGTCAAAAAGGCCAGCTGGACCTTGGTGGGCGATGGCCCAGCCGCAACGTCTCAAACGCCAATATCTATCATATTGCCCCCCGCTACCGTCGATCCCCCAAACACCACCGTGCACACAAGCTCCCCCGCCCAAGGTACCCCACTCCCAAGAAAGATCCAGGGGGCCAGGGAGGTGGCCCACACTGGCGGCAAGGGGCGTCAGCCCACGGATCCAAAAGCATGAGGACTCGGGGGAACTTAAGTTTCAGCTTTAAACGCATTGAAACGGTCGATCGCGGCACCGGTGATATCATCATTGCGCTTGCACCGCCAAGCGCGATGGGATGCCGATTCGGCCTCTAGGCCGCACCGAGGGCAAAGACCTTCCGTGGCCGAATCGTAGCCAGCCTTAGCAAGACGGCATCCTGTCCAAAAACCCGCGGTCAAAACATTACGGAGGAGACCAGCGGCCTCAAACGAGCGTTCTTTCTAGTTTCCTCAAAAACGCCAGCGGGACCGCAAAGTCAACTCCTCCTTCTAAACCTGATCCTTCATAGTGTTTTGCAGCTCCGCTCCACGACGTGCCCCCGCACGCCTCCATGAGCATGCGCCAGAGGGTGTGGGGGAAGGCCAAGTCGCCGACGCGTAGGTGCACCCCATTGGGAAAATGCCAGCAGACAGGGCTGCGCGGCAGGACGTTCAATTCCAACAAGAAAGCCACAGTCGCAGCAATGGGGCCACGAACACGTGGCCATCGATGTTTTGTCTGGCGAAACTTTGTCAACAATGAGGCCCCAGCGCCGAGCTACGCCCATGCGCCTTGCGTGATCGAGGTCCTGCCAAACTACATAGCAACTATCCAGTTGTTCGTAGCGGCGCCTAAACTGGGGGTCATCCTTGGCAGAGCTGACTGAACCCAAAACCGTGGTAGTGCATGCTCCAGGGGACCATCTACCACTACGCATGGCCGCTCGGGCCCTCGTCGGCTGGATCTGCCCAGGGGTGGGCCCCAGCGCTCGGTGAGACCATGGCCCGACAGCGAGGTCCCCAAGCTTCCTTCTTTGAGGCCTGGCTGCGTCTCTGCGTCAGTTTAACAGTATACCTCCTCTTGCCTGCCGTAGTCATGACCCCCAGATCTCGAGCGGCGGCCTGGGGCTTAATTGGCAAGCCAGTCGCCCTGAAACGCGCCGCAAGCTCTCGGCCAAGCTCTGCGCGACTGCGAACGAACGCTGGCTTGGAAGAGATCGCGCGACAACTCCTTCAAGCTGGTGGGCCAGCAACATAGCAGCGGGTGCAACCGCCTCCAGGACTTCATTCACGTGGCCTACCTGGGACTGGGTGATATTATCCATATACGCAGTCACCTGCACGGGGCGATATTGGATCTGAGCGAGGTCCAGAATATCATGCGCATAAATCCCCACCCAAAACATTGATTGAATACACCCAGCAAGAATACCGCGCCCTGGAGGGATGACATCAGAAACAAGCCCGCCAACTTCAAGCACCCGCGGGGATTCGTGAATGAGAATGCAGAGGTAGAGGAGGTGGAGCGGGCATTCCATCTTCACAGCAAGCTCAACCAGCCTGCGTGGCTGAACAGGGTCGAAACAACTCTTAGGATCCCAGTGTGCACCGACTGGAGCAGAGCCCAAGCACGCGGGCAATTTCGTGGCCGATCTCACGAAGTAAAGCAGCCTGCAACGCACTAGCTCCGCGGACAGCAGTGCCCCGGACATTGTATCGATCAGAAGTCCACCTATCGAGATCAGAGTTCCTGGCCTTGCAATACACCCTATACAAGGTGGCACGTGCGAGCGGGTCTATCGCATTCTAAGTTTTTGAGGAGTGAGGCAATTCGGCTCAGATACACCTGCGAAGGCCAGGACAGTTGAGCTTCGCACTGGTTGAGGAGCTGCGCGCGCCCCAACGCGGCGCTCCGAGGAAGATGCACCAAGGCCCTGGGCGCCCAAGAGTCCACTCCAACGGCCGCGAAGGCAGAGAAGCAGCGCGCAGCCCGCTGGACATCCACTGGCTCCAATGGCGCCCAGGGGCTCGATGGAATCGAGGGCTCGTGGTCTGAGCGCGCCCGGCACTCCAGAAAGCAAACGACCACAGTCAGGGGAGTCCCAAACCTGGCTCCAACAAGTTTGGCGGCATTCCATAATGTCCCCAGGGAGCTGGCGGGCCCCTGGGCGGGGGCGCCAAAACTTGGGGCGTCCCCCAGAACATGCTTGCGCCAATCGTGCACTTGTTTAGCACCTTTAGGAAGGGCCTTGATGGGGGCAGCCTTTCATGCGGGTTCTGGGTGCCATTCGGGCTGCCTTCCAGGCAGCGCGTGAACCGATAGAGATTGCCCCCGTCAAGACGTCGAGGCCTTCCACCGCAGCTGGCAAGGAACAGAGCTGGGGGCGCCACCTGGCGATGGCATGCACATCGTCGGCGCAGATGCATGTGTGCATCTGCGAAGCTAGACCTTGGAGGGCGCTGCCTAAGCTCGCGACCATGCGCGCAGACTTACACGCCAGGAAAAGCCGATGCTCAAACATCTCCCGAGAGAGATGAGCCCAGACAGCTAGCGCACGTTCTCGGAAACTCTGGCCAGCAGGACCTCTCCGTCTAATAGTGGAGCACCGACAAACTGGAGCATCACCTCGTTTCACTTGGCTTTCTTTCTGGTCGACTGCGGCCGCGCCAGACTCAAACATGGCTTCGGTCCTCTAGGCCAGGGAAGATAAACATTGGAAAGCTTCTCATTCAAAATGTCCTCCACATGCGGGGCCACGGCGCGGTAAAGGCACCCGTGGACGCCGCTTCCAGGTATGCTAGCTTGCTTCGCACGTGCAGCCTCATCCAATATATCATGGGTCCAAGGATCAGGTCCAGGACAATCAGGACAAGACAAGGGCTTACAACGCTGCCACGTGCACTACTCCAGAGCCTCATGCTGTATACTAGCTTGCAGGCGCGCGCGCGTCTTGAACGGGCTCTGCGCACGCGCGCTCACATGAATATAATCTGCCAAGTCCGTGGATGCAATCACAATCGATCAAAGTGCCCCGTCCTGGGCACAAGCGACTTCGACACCATTTGGTACTAGGGTGCAGGCACGGGCAAGCTTCGGGCACCCAGACAGGTCCATGTCACTCACAGGCGCGTTGAAATCACCCATCAACAGCCGCGGGATTGCCGGGTCTCCAGAAACTCGGAAACGGCACGAATCCGCTTGATGTGTTCCCCTGAAAAGCCAGGTCAGAGATTAGTAGATCGATTGCGCCTGCAGCAATTACAGATTGCTTCGTTTTCAACTTCCAAAAACTGCCAGTTTAGGCCGCTGCCCAAATCAGTCAGGCCCGAGTCCGAGGCCACAAACCGACGAAAACTAAAACCTTGGGGAACCACAGCTCCAACTCCTCCATGAGCGCCCCCTCTAGG